AAAGTTAAAAGATGATTAACATATGAACATGAACCGGTACTCGGGTTTATTTTTGTCCGAATTAACCCGATCGGAAACGTCGGAAGGTGATTTTCAAGGCAAAAACCCCTATTATATCGCATCATAATTTTCGCGTAATTTTGCTTGATTTTTGTAACTTGAAGCATAATTCTAAAAACTTTATCATAATTATCGTATAATTATAAAACTTTATCGCATAATTTCGCATAAATCTTGATTTGTAAAGCAGAAGTTGAATAACCCACTGAGTGTTACTCGACCCGGTACAACCTTTAGTTCTGTTTGTTTGGTTTGTTAATGGTAGAGTTATTTTCTTAACGAAGAAATGTCACGAGATATTTTTGTAGGAAGAGACATCCGAAGCTTGAACTTACACATTCGTCAAATCTGAGCGCCTTTTCGGTAGGTTGTTAAAGATTAGGTAGTACGAAGTTCATCCAGCTCAATGTCCAGTTACCACTAGCGTCTAAAATAGAATTAGTGATATCATTGCAACCGCATAAGTACAGAAATAAACTTATCCATTTTTTTTTAAATTTTTCGTCGAATTAGTTGTAATATTACTAACACTACTTTAGATGCTAGAAACTCTGATCCAACTGGTGTGATTAACTTGCCATTTAAGGGTAATAAAACATAAAAACTACTACCGATGAGCACATTTTAAATATTAAACTGAATATGTAAGTTATTGTATTTATGTATTGAATAAAAATAAAAATTATAATTAATTATATACTATATAATTATATTATTCAACTTTTTCTTGATAATTCAATGATTAATTGTTACAAATTAAAAATTCTCATCACTAGCTCTTGGCAACTCTTTTAAACCTTGTGCTATGTACGAAATACGTAATCTGTAATGCCATACAAATGCAAAGTAAATCAATGAATTCTCATTTAAAAATGGTCCACCAACTCGGTTTTAAAATAAAAAGTTCTTTTTATCTAAAAAGTTACCGCTACCGGCTGTTTTTAAAAGTTTTGAAAAAAAATAAACCTTGGAAGACTGTTCAGAACCAATAACTTTATATAGCCCAATAAATTTTATATAGTCCAATAACTTTATATAGTCCAACAGGTAAATCAAATATTTTTGTTAAAAATGTGAAAAGTTAATATTAAATGTTCTTACTTAAATTTCCAAATTTAGATTATGAGGTTATTAACGTGTTACCCACTTGTATATTACTCATAACACAAAATAATTATTTAACGTATACATATAGTAAAATAGTAAATAATTGCTACATTCATGCATATTTTATTAAATTCCAATTAAGTAAATTGTTTGTTCATATAATTTGTGCTTCGTGTTTTATTGCGTGACTGCTATAAAAGAGCGAAGACCGAACTCTTCTTCCATGTTGGCAACTATCCTCAACTTCCTGTATTTTAATAAATATATAGTTAACAATGATTTTAAAAGAAATTATTGTGATCTTATTTTTCTTCACATTCATTTGTAATGCTTCTGAGCAATATCCAACACCAAATGCACTATGGATAGGTACAGATTTTTCGGGTAAACAATTTCAGCCCGGTGATTGGATTGATTGGGAAGTTATGGCACCAGAAAACTACGATGGCACATATAGTATACTATTAGTAAATCGTGAAATTAGGTCTGTGTTTGTAACGCTCCAATCAGAAGTTTACTTTGAAGCTGGACTTAACAAATTTTCATTCGAGATTCCATCGAACTTGGAGCCGAGTCCTGTATACTTCATCAATTTTCGAGGCCCTAATCGAGAGGATTACTCAGCCACTTTTACCATTGGAGAACCGGGGTACGGAGTTACTATAGTGAGCCCTGCTGCGGGTACAGTTATGCACCCCGGTGACATATTAGAAGCTAGTTGGTATGGGAATTACGATAAACCTGATGTTGATGACATTCATTTCATTCACGTGAGTAAAATAAATGATTATATGATAATACACATCTCAAGTCTCAAAATTTTCAAATTATATAGGCATTATTAGAACCAGCAGTAAATAGTGATAGACCTCGTACTTATCTTTTCCTACCTGATAGCAATAGAGAAGATATGTATATATCATTTGAATCACAATATTTACAGTGGCGGCTACCAGATGATATTTTGGCACCCCGAGTTTGGAAATTTGGTTTTCTGTTTAATACAAGTGACGGTAGTTTTAGTACAATTGTTTCTAGCGGGTCATTTTTAATAAATCCTGAAGACGACGACCAACCACCTAGTGATTCAGAGGATCCAGAAGATCCAGAGGGTACCGATTCAGAGGATCCAGAGTACACTGATCCAGAGGATCCAGAGTACACTGATCCAGAAGACCCCGATTATTCATACGAAGAAGACCCCGATTATTCATACGAAGAAGACCCCGATTATTCATATGAGGATCATCCATATGAAGAAGACCCCGATTATTCATATGAGGATCATCCATATGAAGAAGACCCCGATTATTCATATGAAGAAGACCCCGATTATTCATATGAGGATCATCCTCGATATGAAGAAGACCCCAGAAAACCCTGATTATTCATATGAAGATCCCGATTATTCATATTAATATGATCCCAATCCGACTCATATAATCCCAATCCATATGACCCCGATTCAGAAGATCCCTGAATATGTATCTCAAGTAGCATGCATATTTAAAATAGACGATATAGACATCAATTCGAATAGAAACAATACAATATTATATTTAAATAAAAGTTTCTTCCTTTAAAAAGCAACACAAAATAGCATTGTTAAGGCCATACAAAATTAATTTCTTAGTTTTCAATAACCCGGCAGAGTAAATTTTGAAATTATTGATAATTGATTTTATATATTTTAACACGTAACTGTTGGATAGCCTTCTAAATCATACAAATATTCAAATGAAATTATATGGAGACAAGTTAGTAAAAACGTACCAAATCTTTTTTTATGAAGATTTAAACGGAAATAACTCAGCAAAAAACTTAATCAAAAAAAATTTTTTTTTTTAAATGGATTTTATAAGGTTATAAAATTAATTTTATAAAAAAAAAAAAATTCATTAAATTTGATTAAGCTATTGTTGAGGCAAAAATACTATTCTTGATGGATCGACAATACCGATCTTGATGGAGTTAAAAAAAAATTTATTTGAGTACTGTTCCTGATAGGGTTCTAAAAACGAACCTAATCCTAACTTTGTTCATTATAGTAGTATAGTATTTTGAGTATAGTATTTTGGAGGCCCTTTTTTAGAACTCTATCAGGAACGGTATGTAAATCGATTTTTTTCCCACCCTATCAGGAACAGTACCGATAACCCATCGGGAATGGTATTTTTTGCATTGTTGAGTTATTAACGTTTAAAATTTAACAAAATTCACTTAGAAAATATTTGATGCATTTCTACTGCTCACATATTATGGATGTCACTACGGTTACTATTTCACCATGTTTAAGTTCACCAATAATGATGAAATTATTTCGACACTAATTTCACAATCTTTAATTTTACCAATTTATTAATTAGCACATGATGATTATAGCTATTTTATGGTGATAAGTTAGGAGTTTATACCCTGAGTACATATAAGTTACATGACAAAAATTACAAAAATGACTTCTAATTCGTACCCACCCTAATTAATAAAGATCAATTAGTAAATATACTTAAAAGTAGGTACGTTCTTGATAGAATGTATGAAACTGATTTTCAAAGTCTGCAATAATAGTGTGCTATACATATAAAGCACACCCTCCCAAAACAGATCTGCTATAACCGACAAAAAATTGGTCCACCATCTCTATAATACAAATCCGATAACCTGCTATTTCTGATAACTGATACTCAAAAGATCAAAAGGTCAAATATCTATAAGATATCAGGGTTTGTCATCAATTTGATTGGCTCAGATAGAGGTTTGGTAACTGAGTACATATATATATACTGGGTTTCTATACACGGTCCCCTTTTTTTAATATAGAGATCACGATGGTTATTTACGCAAATATTTTGCATAAATAAGGTCACTTAAAAAAAGGGACCGTGTATAGGAACTTTTGAAACACCCGGTATATATACCGTATCGTCGCGAAATAACGCCCCGGGGCGTTATTTCGAGACAAAAATTTAAACCGAGTTAATAATTAATTTTGCCGAAGATTTTTTTTAAACTTTAATATTTATTTAATAGTAAAGTTTAAA